CAGTGTGAAGCACACAAACTTAGAAACATGACTGATTCTTGATCATTTGCTTAATTTACCACATCCCGGTCTTGCACGAATAGTAACACACAGATGCACGTGCATACATGTACCTATGACTAACCTTTTGAACTTACTTTCTGGTCAGTAAATTAGCAAGAAATGTCAGGGTTGGATTTCTTTACCAGTGCTAGAGGAGCCACTGATGGCTGCCATATGGTTTCAGGTCAAAACAGCAGATTTTTAGCTGTGCCCTTTGTGATGACTCTAAAAATGACAGGGGTCCTATCTGTGGTTCTGCTAAATGCTAAACTGAGGGCTTCATGCTGTTTCTGTACCTCAGGAAAGACACCTCTCCAACTGTAAAATTACTGTTTGACCACAGAGCTGACAGGAGTTGCATCACTTCTCCTACTGCTGCTGCTGCTCCTACTACAGCATAAAAAACAGGCGCTCTCAAGTTATAATGTTAATGGACAGGACTCTAATAATGAATGTGTGGATTTGGATATGTTTTGCCAAGGGTACTTCAGCAAGGCTCTATAAATACTGCCTTAATCTGCAGGAAGCCACAAAAGTCATGATCCCCCGCACCCCCCAACCATGTGGGGGCCCCTCACTTTACTATCCACTAACACTCTAGTCGACCAGAGGACAGTGAACACAACAGACACCCAATACTAATACTCAAGCATGGTAACCAGTACACAGACCGGTCCAGAAGTGGACCATGGGAACAATCTTTTCAGGCCTGACTGTAAAAATAAGGTAACACTATACTCCTGTGAGAAACGCCTCAGAAGAGGGGTGGAGCGCTAAAAAACAGTAAAAGCACTAGAGAGTCATTGAGTAAAATTCTGTGAGGAAAAATATAAATAAATGTTAGAGTTTAGTTAGTTACTGTCAGAAAGACCCAAACAATGGAAGTTAAATATTTTTTAAAGGATCAAATAATCACAAATATGTGGGCTACTATCACTGACACACTATATTTCTTTTGTTTGTGAGTGTATAAAGTAACCTGAATGCAGACAGTGATTCAGACTATATCCCTGTGCAATGAACAGATCAAATGTAAAAAGAACAAAACAAGCTGCTAGATGCTCAAGAGATAAGCGGTAAGATAACACTGCAGATCTCACAGGAGTGAATGCAGGGTGGACGGATTTCTTTTAAACCTGTGAACAGCAGAGACATGTGGCACAGCCAGCACTTAAGCCCACTGTTTGCAATGCACAGAGTGAGATAAGCCACCCTGACTCCAGGCAGCACTTGGGCCGCTCGGTGTTGAGAGGGGAAACCAAACCTCTACTGCCATAAGCGCTGTCTGTGTCAATTAAATGTATGCACTTTGCCCTATACTGTACAAATTAATGATTTTAGCACAGTAATTTTCATAGCAGGTCTTGCTTATGAACAAAAGATGTATTTTAAAGTGCTGATGTATGTGCACAGGAGAGCATGCAAAGCCATTATACCTGCTGCAAAAGTTACTTGGTTAAATTTAAGGTGCAAATTAAAACTGTCAGCAGCACACATCTTGTCATGTTGCACAGAATAGTGATGACAACAGCTCAGATGCAAACCGTGCTCGTTTCCTTCTGCTTTGATGTGCCAGTCCTGTGAGAAACATCTCATCCACATCAGTTATTGTAGGTTTGTTTTATTAGTTTTTATTTTTATTTTATTTAGATCTTTTTTTTAAAATTGTATTTAGTTTCAGTTTGAGTTTACTCATTTCAGTTTAGTTTTTATTGTTTAAAAATTATTTGTTTCATTTTTATCAGTTTCAGTATTAGTTTTTATTATATGTTAATATGGGGGGGGATTTGTTAGGGGAAAGATTTAAAAGTTCAGAATAGTTATACAAACACAGCGCTTTGTGAAGGTGATTGACTCACAGTCACGTAGACATCCTGTACTGAATAAACATGCCCCAATCCCTCCTCATGCTTGCTGTGTTGACCAAAACTGAACATATTACCTGTATATTTTTATTTTATTTTAGTTAGTGTTGTAGGTACACAATATCATTTCAGTTAGAGTTTATTTTTACTTTAGTTAAGTAAAATGTGTTTTTCCCCCCACCTAGTTTCAGTTTTTAGTTACACTTTAGTAAATTATATTAATCTTGAGCTGGATCACATTAGTTCTAACTGACTTGAACAACTCTGATGCACATGGTTTAACGAACGTTTACAGTACTAAAAATACACATCTTAGTAAGCGTTGCTGTGAAAAAGAGGAACATTTCCACAGAGACTTTTTCATGTCTGGGAGCTGTTTTTTTTCAATTGGATGAGGAAGTGATGGGGGATCTTTCCCTTAACATTCGCTTTCTATTTGCATTTTCTGTTGAAATCAAAAACAGTTGCTGTTATCTTCAAATTTTTGTAGGGATGGATGGGTGTACATAAGAAACACACCAATGACTCATTACATGAAAACAGTAGGCACACAATGGCATGTTGGGGCCCATAGTGGTTGTTCTTTTATTATGTTTGCACAATGGCATTGATGGTTCAACTTTACATACAGTACCATAGAAATGTGGATAAAAAAATGGATGGAAAGTCCCCATCTCACGACACAGATCCTGAGAACACAAGAGTTTACTGTTAATGACATCCCCAGTGTACTCCTGTGTCTAAAAGTAGGAATGAAGAATATTTAGCCACTTTGCCTTTTTTGGGTTTTAAGTACTTTGAAAAAACGCCTACAGGGATGAGTAACACAAATAATGCCATGTCTTATCGTTGTCGGTCTGATGCATTACCTACTTTCTGTCACGGCACTTATCTCAGTATGTGACTTAAAACCTTACTGTCCCACTTCTGGCAAGTTCACACATAGGTCAACATAGTCTGTCTGAATGCTTCTAGTAAATGAGGCCGTTTTTTGGTCTGTGTGGTGTAAAGGTTCAATATTTCCGAAAATGTGCTTCTTTGCTTTGTTTCTGAGAGTAAGATGAGAAGATTGATGCCACTGTCGTGTTTGAAGGAATATGACGCTGGTGCCAGTAGCCGCAAGCTTAGAACAAAGGTTGGAAACAGTTTTCTCTGACCAGCGCTAAAAACAATCTGCATACAAGAACCTCTAAAGCTTGTTAATTAAAAAGTTATGTCTTTCTTTTAAATATCTGCAAAAAAATTAAGTGTAAAAACAATAATTCATGGTTTTACAGTACATGGGGACTATTTCTTGGTCGGGGGCAGTTGCCAGGCAATGAAGACTCCAGGAAGTTACTAGACTCAGCCAAGAAAAAGTTCGGAACATAACCCCTTGAAAAATGGCAAATTTATTTTAACACTTGTTGTGCGGAATAAACAAAGCAGATGTAATGTGTTAATTAGCAAGCATTAGAGGTCCTGGCAGGCGGATCTTGTTAGTTTTTCACAAAGCCAAGCTAGCTTCCCCCCCTTATTTTCAGTCTTTGGGCTAAGTTGGCAGCTGCTGGCTGACAGATGAGAGCAGTATCTATCATCTCATCTAACACTCAGCAAGAAAGCAAATGAGCATATTTCCAAAAACGTCTAATAATTGAACACTGTTCCATATTACTGTAGAAACTGACTTCTAAGATGTCATTGTAAAAAAGACTGGCTGGAAGATAAAAATGCAAATCACTAAATGCGATAATAAAGCCCGGCTTTCCATTCAAGTTGTGGCGACACAGCAGTGGCTCATGAAACAATACTATCCCAGAGAGTTTATTTTGAGGTGCACATCCACCAACACATGTAATAATCTTCCTCAGGGGGTGGGGGGGGGCTGGTACAGGAGGCTGCTAATAACAGCTGCCAGATGTGCAGAGTCCCCTGAGCCTGTGCACATTCTCACAGACAATGGAATGCTTGTGAGGACCCCCAACAGGAAGTGAGGTCAGGGCTCTTGACCCCTCCCCTAAAAGCTTAGTGAGAGCCACAGCAGTGGGCAGCTTGAGTGGTGTGGCCCCTGAAAGGATCCCATCATAAACTCACTGACAGTGAGAAGTCAGTCCATAAAGCCTGTCTACTACACATCCATTACATACTGCACATTCAACCTGCCAGCACTTCAGTGGAGAATACAGAAAGTTAACAACAGAAGCTTTGAAGATGCGCGGTAAAGCCATTAAAGTTGTCTCCACATACTGAGATTGCGGGGTTGAAAGATTTTGGCAATCCCAACAGAAGTATTGCAAAGATGATGATTTTTTCACAAGCTGTTCTTCTCTTTTTTCTTTCCACATACTAGCTGCTGCTGCGGGGGCGGCAGGGATAAGTGCGGTAAAAGCGGTTGCACAATCTCAATCTTTTCTCCCCCAGTAAACCATCAGCAGACATGACATGAGTCAAAGTTGTTGAAACTGTTTGGTAGAGACCAGACGCACGCAATATCAATGCAGGAACTGATGAATTTCAACTGGGGATGTTTCATTTCTACAGGTAGACTGATGAGCAGTGAGGTGCTTTCCTGGTGTACTGTAATCTGATGTCATTCACTTAGTACTATATGTGTACGTCTGGAGAAGTACCACCTGCTTCCTGGACTGTGGTCATGTATAGAAAGAAGTTAAACTGAATCCTCACCCACAACAGTTTTGTTTTGTCTAAACACTCTTTTTCATTTTCTGGTTTCATTTGCACCTTTTCTTTCAATGTTCACTGACAATTCCAGAAGCAAATCTAAATGTATTTAGCACAGAAGCCTTGGAGCTCCTAGATGTTTTGTAAGACAACTAGTAAACACTACAACATTACGGAGCTCCTCTTTCTTATCACAGACACATGACATCATAGCCACTTGGGATGACTTTGACTTTGAGCATAATGACTGTAAAGACATTATTACCTCATCTGGGGTTAGAAAGAGGCAGTTTCAATGATGCTAGCACTTGCCCCTGCTGTATGTGTAGGCACAGCCCTAATGACTAACAAGCCCGGACTTACCTTCACCTCACCCTTCTTATTACAGCTATACCCAGACCTGAGGGAGAATTGAAAAAACTAAAACAATGACTCATCACAAACAACATTCAAAATAGCTTGTGAGAGCAGATCTATTTTCTTTTGCTCCTTTAACACTCTTTTTTTTATACCTCCGTCATAAACCTTTAGATGTGCATTTGCAGCTGACCACTGCTCTCAAGGGAAACTGAGCCAGGATGAGTTGAGCGTGGACTCACTGGTTCATGCTGGGATCTGCAAAGAGAGAGGAAGTGAAGAGGTGGAACATCTGGACTTCATTTGTGTGCTCCAGAGTGGGGAAAAGGTCCAGAAATAGGCTTTAAAAGTATTTTCCATATTAATTGCCGTTTCTATGGCTATTTCGATGCTGAGGCTCGCGACTCGTTATGGGTATATGACGTTTCCATACACTCTGTCTCTCGCGTGTGGGTGTGCGTTTGTGTGTGTGTGTGAGAGTGAGTAAGTGTGTGGCCGCGTATTGTGTGCGCGCCGCCCTGACGCTGAACAGCCCCGTGGAGCTGTTGTTCCCAGAGAGCAGGAGGACAATCAGACGGACTGTTGGATTAGAGCGACAAAAGAGAAAGTGCGATCTCTGTTTTAAGAAGAAAAAAAAGTCTATTCTGTTGAGGTTTTTTTAAAATCGCTCCTCAGTTTTTGGAGTCGTCGCGCTTTCTGGTGATCTTTGTCCGGTTTCCTCGGCGGCGCACAGACCGGCGGAATGGATTTACTACTGGCTAGACAAGACACTAGTCCTCCACCAAAGTTTTGATTGTCATCGTCGCCTCTCGACCCCAGAGCTGAGGGAAAGGCAGCTGAGCTTGACGCGGCATTTGTGGGGACTGGTGGCCACATGTGAGCACATTTGCGGACAAATAGTTGTCGGAGCGTCTTCTCGCTGCTCTCCACTATATCTCTCATGGGGTAAGTAGGGGCACCTTCTCAGCGTAGTGTTAGCCGTAGTGTTGGAGTGACAGTCTGCATGTGCTGCAGCAATCTTAACAAAAGGATTTGACTTGATTTGTGTCTCTGCCATTACTGTAAAATGCTTTTCAGCGTTCAAAGGAGTTCATTTCTTGTTCAGTTCTTTATTTTTTTAAAAACACTCAAACACACAAACTGGTTGCCAACAAACACTATAATAATGACCTGAAAGTCTCAAAATGTCGAAATGTGCCGCTGATTCACAAACACCTATGACACACAGTAGGATGGCCCACATTGAGCAGCACGCCACTAATGCACTTTCATGTGCCACAAGTAGGAACAATGAATGCGTGGACTCCGTGTGACAGCTGCGTTTGTTAAACACAGTGTGCATGTTTTAATGAATAACATTGTGTGTTACATATTAACACACAGGGCTACAGTTGTCGATCATGCAGGAAGGGGTGGGGGGTTTTCTGCATCATACTTTGTCTGCATAGCTGTTGTTGGTGGCTGAGATGAGCTGCGTGCACCCCAAGCGCGTCCTCACAGGGGCCTCCGCACACACACAGGTCCGTGGAGCCGTTGCACAGCCTGCTGCGCCCCCCTCCCCTGTGCTCTGCCCCCTCCGATGTTGTTGAGGCTTGTTCATCCGTCACTCTAAAGAAGGCATTGTATTGAAAGGATGTATTAATAAGACAAAAGCCCCTATTATCCCCATGTACCGGAGTTAATCTCATGGGGCAGGAGATGTGCTCCCCAGAGGAAGGCAGCATAGAGCCTTAACAAGCAAGGTCTTAAAAGACTACTGCATATTGTTGTTAGACATGGAATTTAGCAAAATATACTATACATTTGAATACACACTAACATATTATAGGAAAGTGGATTGTAATTGTATATTGGAATAGAATTTACAGTCGTTTTGGACATTTGCAGGTCTGTACCATCTTTTGCAGGCCTAGTAGTTTATTATAGTAATTTCCTTATCAAACTATATACTGGCCAAACAGCATGTTGTTTCCTTGTGTCCTAAAGAGTTAATCCTGCAGAGAGGGATACATAGGTGTCAGCAGTCCAGTCGTGAGGCATCCTGTTGTGGGAGACTCCTCAAATCACAGTGAGATATGATGATAAGGTGGAGGAACAAATGTTTATTGCATAGATAAAGGCCCCCATCCATCATCCTCTCTCCTGTGGTTGGTCTGGTTCAGTCTGCATGGTGTGTTGCTCATTAGCAAGACTCCCGGCAACTGCAAAGCCTCATAGTGGCATTATGTCAAGCCACAGCAGAGGTTTCAGGGTGAGAAACCAAACTCTCAAATTCACACAAAAAGCCTGCTGAGTTAAGACTAGCATACATCTTACTGTGATAACATCAAGAGTAGGGGGTGAAGAGGAAGCACGCTCAGCAGCATTTTAAAAGGACTATCAAGTGCCGAAGGCCCTGTCAGCAGCTCCATTGATGCTGGTGTTGTGCAAGAGCAGCCTGGCTTGTTTGGGGCGTACACGGCCCGCTCATGGACTCAGGTGCTTCTCCCAGCATGCCTTGGACCGGCTGAAGACAGGGCATGATACAGCCGGCCGGCCGTCTGCGTTTGGCCCATGTGACCACATGGCTCATTGCACCAGAACAACACCTGTCACCCCACCAGGTCTGACTGCTGCCAGTCTTCTTCACACACTTCACCATCCTTGGCCTGGGTGAGAGTAACCCCAGGGTGCTGCGAACAGCGCCAAATTATTGGCCAGACACTCAGCAGCTCCAGGCACACTCAGCCTTTCACAGACATAGAGCACACATGGTATTAGTCTTACCATAGAGGGACTTTAAAATCTTTTATGTTAGAGCACAGGCAGACTGTCTCAGTCCAGCAGCCCATGACATCATAAGTTCAGGGTCTGTATGTTGCTGACCCAGCTCACTGTGCTCAGTGGCCCGGTTTTCCTCTAAAGATGACTGCTGTAATCGGACCCTTCTCAATGGGGACTGCCAGAGATACCGTGAGAAATGAAGACGAATAAATGAGCTGAATAAATAAATAGATGTATAAGTGCATGGCTGGGTAAATAAATTAATGGTAATTCAGCAGTGGGAACTGGATTTGCGGGACTTTTTTTTAATGGAGCAGGTCACTAGGGGGTTGAAGGCGGGGATGGGCGGTGGGTGGGTGGTGTCGATCTCTGAAGGATGCTCGGGTTTCAGTTCAGGCCTGAGAGCGGTCTGCTTATAGGAAACAGCAAGAAGGCTTTTCCTTTGGGAGACTGACTTCTCTTTTGTTGTCTATACTCACCACTTTATTCAGCCAGATCGGACACTGAAAGATCAGAGGAGCAACCCGCCAGAGGCACCCTGGCTTTTACCTGGTTAAATGAAACCAGTCAGAGGTCCTTACATAACTTTCAAAAAAGAATAGGAGCCAGATCATAGGAGACAATGCATGCGTTTATACTTTGCCTTTGTTTTGTCGTCTTTCTCTGTGATATTATTAGTGTTCTGCAGACAGTCAGCTGGGTTCTGCAGGCTCAGAGTTCTAGCTGGTACTCCCACCATTGCCTGAAAAACACTTTCCTTGGGTGTGGCAGCTGGAGCAAAATAAACGCCTTCTGTTCGCAAGCTGCTGAAGCGCAAGTCACAACACACAGCTGACAGCATGTAGCTTTATGATTCACAGCCAAGAGCTGGGAGTGTCTGAGATCAGAGAAATAAATATGGCGTCCTCTTCTTTTTACCCATTTTGTAAACGTAAGTGAAAATAGTTTGCATTTGCTTTTTGCTGGCAGGTAGAGAAATGCATGTGCACAAAACAACCTTTCTGAGTCACAAGAAGATGCTGTCAGTGCTGTTCGGAGTATTATATAAACATTTACATAAGCTAATGTTTGGTGGAGAAAAAAAGTGTCTCTTTGACTATTTTAGGAAGGTGTTTTAACCAGTGAAAGAACCCATTAGCTTTAAAGTATCTTCTTACATTCCTTTTCCACTTGAGGGACTTGGACAAACTATAAGACCCCCCATGACCAGGCGCTGATGCTTGTAGCAGCATGCCAGGATTTCCTGACGCTTTCTGGGGTGGGGATAAGGCTGTTCTTCTTCTGTCACATTTCAAACTTGTATCAGCCCTTGTTCCAAAAACGCTGCCAGTTGGAAATAATGCTGCAAATGGTTTTTAGAGCTCTGACAGGCATTTTTCATTGTGCAGTATTGCTCCACGGAGAGGAACATTACAAATCTTTCAGATTCAATGACAAGTAGATTGAATACAAGGTTTCTGGTTACTGCTGTGGCTTTGGATGGGATCTGTAGCACTTTGCAACCTCTCTTTAGGTTATGCATTGTGATGATTTATGTACTGGATGGGAACAACCTCACACTGTCTTTTCTAGCGGCAGGCTTAATCAGTGTGGTCATGTCGTGGTTTACAGATTTCTGGTCATTCTCAGCACTCACTCTAGAGCGATCTTGGAGCAGGTACACATGAAGATGCTGTGGTTTTGGAGACCTCCTCCTCATCTTTCTTCTTCTTTCTTGGAAGCCTTTGTTACCCGGTCAGCTTTGTTTGTGCAGCTGGAAAACTCCACAGGATTACTTCAACACCCCACCTCCCCAGATCCAAAAGTAAGCTGGAGACAGTTTTCTTGGATTTTGAATTGCCCCATGCAGCCAGTGAAAGCCTGTTGAAGCCATTCCTTTTGTTTGGATCTGAAAGTTAACTTAGTTTCTCTTCCTAATAAGCTCTTTCAGATTTTCTAATGACTGACTTTCAAAATGAGGCAAAATTGCCAACTGTGATGGTCTGTTTTGTTAAAAAAAAAAAGCTATTAAGATTGTTTATCCTGTCAAAGCCTCTGTTTCAGTCTTTCCAGGCTTAAAGACATGATGGAATTAACCTCCAGCCAAACACAAGCTGGGTCATGACAGAGGCCAGACTGCTCCATTGCAATAGACAGATTGTGTGGAAGTGGGTTCTGTTTACGTCAAACTAATATGACAACTGCTCAAACATGTCCATTTCAGATGAGCCTCGTCTAAGTCAAAGTCAAGTAGCTGTTGTCTCGTACCCTCTGAAAAGCAACACCACACTTTCTGACCTGTTATTTTTTACAAAATATCCTTTGGCAAGGCACTCTGCCCAAACCTTGCATAAGGCTCGGTAAAGTTACATAAAAAACCAAGTTGTTTAAAGTGGTGCCTTTTCTTTAATTTTTTTTTACTTGTGTAAGGTTGCCAGGAAGTAAAACAGACATAGTATCCCTCCAAAAATCTATAATATTAAATACCCTTGGGTCTCATTCCATGCGCACATTCACTGGTCTTTAAATGCAGGTTGTAACTGTACTGGCCCTACACAAATATTTCTTTTACAGTTTAAGATATGATGTTCTCATGCCAGAAAGACTGAGTTTTTCAAGAAATAAATGTTCTCTTCAAAGCAAGAAATTATTAAATTGTATAAAATACAGAGGAACAACTGTGGAATGTGTGGACACAACAATGTTCCCTCTCCAGGCAACCATGTTTTTCTCCAACAACAGAGCCGTGTTTAATGGATCTGTGTTTGCCAGAGGAGTCTGGAGTTGTTTTCCAATGCTGGACCACGAGGAGAGATGGAGGGCCTCCATCAATTCATCATCTTATCAGTGGGCACTAGGCAGAAGCAATCAGGGTGGCTTTGTACCCCATGTGTTAGATGGTATCATTTTCCATTGTACAGTGCTTTGCTTTGTCGCCAGCACCTTCCCTTCTCTCCTCTGCTGTGTCTTTGATTTTGACATGCTGTCCTATGACTGGCTGTAATGATGTTAAGTGCACTGAAAATTACTGCAACATCAGGGGAACAAACCTGAGTGTCACAGTCACAGCAACCATTCACGCTACCGAAATACACAATTGCATATGTTGTTACGTGTCCTGTTCACTAGCACGCCATACAGCAAATAATCACATGGTCTCTCATGGCAACATCACACTTTCCCAACGAAGGAACAGAACATGA